GAATTACACCAGCTAAACTCATTGATTTCTGCTGAATAAAGGAACAGAAGAAATCTTTGTGTCTCCTCTAGCTGAGTTATGCGTTCTCTCTCTCTCTCTCTCTCTCTCTCTCTCTCTCTCTCTCCAAACAATCTTCAAACAGTGGGGAGTAGAAATTAAGCTTGCTTCCAGATAGTTCAAGTGTGTGCTCATTCCTGGCTTTCCAATGTCAGAATCCTATCATTCTATCTTGCCCTACCAGGGGCCTTTCTGTTAGATATCTTCAGCTATACTGCTTTCTAAATGACTTTGGTTATAAGTTGCCTTTTTCCCCCTGAACTGTATCCGAGCTCCAAGGGCTCCCCCAGCCACATAAAGAAGGCCTGGTTGAATCCTGGGATAAAACCTAGATTGTTATTCCTCATAAATGTGCGTAGTTATTGAGAGCTCTTGCATTCATATATTCACATTTCAAATTCAAGACTGTAAAGGAAGGGCAATTTTAAAGAGATGATTATTTATGATCCCTGGTGTCCAGTCTGGGGGAGAGGGTGCGGCACCCAGATAGCCCTCAGAAGGGCAGCAGCCTTTTGGACGTACACTGAATTTATCAAGGACATTGACATAGGTGCTATGTGATGTATAAGGTACAAGGTCAATATTAAAGACATTTGCTCTCTCTAAAAGTTGAATAAAGACACAAGGGAAATCTGTAAAACTCAAGTCTAATTAAAGTTTGTATTAAAAACTTCCTATTCCAGGTAGCATTAATATTTCAAGCTTTTCCTGGTGAGAGAGGCATGTAAACAGCAGCCTGAAGACCCAGGACAGGGCCGCAGGCAGCTGCAGGCCCGCCCTGCTGAATGAACCGGGCACTGAAGGGGCAGCACCGCACACCTCGCCTTCATTCTCAGGCGGAAGAGCTCTCCAGCCTCACTGACATGGTGTTTGCTTCCCCTCATGAGGCGCCCTTTGCTTTCCTTCCTGGTAACTCCTCAACCTTGAAGTATCTCCAGGTAAAGGCTTCCTTCCCACAGGGCTTGGGGCAGGGCCAGGCAGGGAGAGGTGACCTCAAGCACAGCCTCCCCTTGAGTGGGCTGTCTCACAGGCATTGTCTGGAGAGTGCTGGCTCTGCTCACCCTCAGCTATTGCCTCCAAGCCACTGCTACCACATGAGGATAATCATGGACTCAGCCTCTGCAACTGGAGGCAACCCCCTAATTAAATGCTTTCTCTTACAAGTGCCTTGGTCATGGCACCTTTTCGCAGCCATAGAATAGTAACTAAAATAACTCCTGCGACCATTACCCAAGGTTGACCTCTGGCCTCCACAATACACGTGTACATGCACTTACCCATGAATTTACTTGCACACACACACTAAATAAATAAAGTGATAACAAAGATATAGTAACTGACGTCTACCCTTTTGTGGGTGCTGGGTGTGCACGTTTGCAGGCATAGGCACCGTGTGCACACACATGTGGTGGTCCCAGGTTGGGAGGCATCCTCCACTGATTACCTTATTCCCTGAGGTCGGCTATCTATCTCAGTCACACTCAGAGTCTGACTACGACCTTAATCTAGCCAGCATGCTCTGGAAGTGCCCTGTCTCTGCCTTGAGAGGCTGGGATTACAGACAGGCTGTCGTGCCCACCCGTTCTCTGCTTGGGTTCTGGAGACCCAAGGTATGGTATTCAAATCTGTGTGCCAAACATTTTAACCACTGCACTGTCTCCCTGGCCCCAAACTCAATATTTAAGCAAAGATTGTGTCATTTGGAGAAAAAGAAATAAAACTTACTGCAAGGAGTGACATTACACATATAGAATCTCTTTTAATACCTAGATTAATAAAAGACAGCCAGATCCTCCCAACTGTATCGCATTTAGTCTGTCTGCCTCTTACACATCCTAAACCTCTGAGAAGACTAAGAGTGTAAAACTGTGAGGCATATTTTAGTGTTTCCATGAATCCACAGCTTTGAGACCAGTTATCCTATACTGAGTCTTGTGTCGCCATCAACATAACACACCATAACAAAACCTGCCTATACATCAGACACTCCGCACACAGATGCAGAAAAAGGCTAAACAGGACCTGGGCATTCTGGATCTGCCAGCTGGACCAAGAGGCCTCACTCCTTTCGATCACGGGGGCCCTGGAAGGCTGCAAATGGGCTGGCCACCTGCAACAGTGCAAGCTTGCATCTCTGCTTTCTTCTGGAGTCCCCTCTGTGCTGCCTCCTGGGTCCTCCCCCATGGCAGCTAGAGCCTCCACTTACTTAAACCTTTCTTGATCTACCATGTCTCCTTGTCTTTCAGCACAGTGTGTTTGTGTCTGTGTGTGTGTATACATGTTCACATATGTGTGCCTGTGTGAGGAGGGCAGAGGTTAATGCCATGCATTTTCTTCGATTTCTCTCCACCTTATTTTTTGAGACAGAGTTCTTTCACTGAGCTTAGAACTTGTTGATCAGGCTAGACTGCAGGCCAGTGAGCCCAAGGACCTTCCTGTCTCCACCTCCCAGTGATAGGGTTAGAAGTGTGGGCTGCGGTACCCAGCTTTTTAAGGGGTGCCAAGGATAGAACTCGGGTCATCTTGCTTGATAAACTCTTTACCTAATGAGCGTCTCCCTTCATCTTTATATACTATCAGCTTTATCTTTCTTCACTCTTCAACTTACAAGGCCCACCTCCTGCAAGCCTGTGGGTTGCCCTAGATAGCTCTCAGCCTGGGTTCTCATCGGACTGTCCTGGCAGCACCCCACAGTGGTGACTGTGCCCTTCCTTGTGACTGTGTTTATCAACATCACCCAGGGAATCTGGCCTTTCATTCTTCACCAGAGAATCCCATTCAGGTGGTTTGGGGAGGGGATCCAGTATTTCTATAATTACAAACAAAACAAAACAAACAAAAACTTGGCTGAAAAGGAAACTTGAACCTGGAAAAACGGAGATGCAACTGGCAGCTGAAGTCCTAGATGGACTCCAAATTCCAGTCCCCAGTCTTCAATTCTGAAAAACACAAGCACCAAACAAACTCTCTTCTTGTATCTCCTGGGAAGTTCCAGAAGCTGGGACTTCCTGCTGTTTTTAAACTTCCTCCAGAATAAACTAGAGCAGGAAAGCTGCTTCGTAAATTGAGCTAACCTAGAACACTTCGCTGCACCAGAAGGCAGAGCTGTTATCAAAGAGTTCTACGGTCCTATCACAGGCAGGGGGAAGCCGGGACACTTAAATGTCATAAGAATCAGTGACTGCAGTAGCTTCAACATTTCAATTACGCTGAAATCTGTTTGCTTGGAATGTTCTTTTTAAAGGTACATTGATTAGCTTTGGAGAGTGCTAAGGAACCCAACTCATTACATTTAAAAGCTGGCAGAGAAAGGATGAGAACCAAGTGTTTGTTTTCTGACTCCTGCACAAGCCATTCCTCCTTATAAAGAAATAATGATGTTTCTTTTTATGGACATGTATTGCCCATACTGCATGAAGAATAAATGATATAATCAGAGTATTGCCATTTGTATGCCTCTGTGATGGCGAACTTTGTCACTGCACTGTGACCTGGAATACCTGTGTTCACCTGTGGCCATGTCTGCACTCTGTCGTAAGTGATGTGGGAAGGCACAGCCCACTGTGGGTGTGAATATTCCCTAGGCAAAGGCTCTTGAACAGGTGGGTCTGTGTCTCTGTCCTGCTCCTGAGTAGAGATGTGATATACTGGCTGTGTTACACACTCCCCCTGGGCTTGAGCCAGAAATTGTACACTAAAATAAATCCTCTTCTCCTCAGTTTAAAAATTTTTATTATGTATTTTAAAATATGTGAATATAAGTGTAGGGTGTGTGTGTGCGTGTATGCGTGTGTGTGCATGTGTGTGCATGAAGTGCTTGAAGAGGACAGAAGGGGGTGCTCGATGTGGAGCTGGAGTTGGGAGCCTGGACACTGGGAACTGAAATGAGGCTCTTTGTGAGAGTAGAAAACACTCTTAAACCTTGAGCTGTCTTTCCAGACCCCCTAAGTTGCTTTTTATCGGGATATTTTATCATAGCAATGAAAATGAAACTAGAACAGCTCCTGTGACTATGTATGGAGCGAGAGACAGACAAACAGACAGACAGAGAGATGGAGAG